CACCGGGGGCGGCGGTGGAGGTGGGGGTGGAGGTGGAGGAGGAGGTGGTGGAGTCGGTGGTGCCCTGACATTGATGGGCTGTGTCAGAGAGGCATCGCCTCCTCCTCAGAATCATCATCAGCAACATCATCGAAGTCTCGGTGTCGGAGAGTTCTCCGCGCAGAACAGCATCGATCCTCTTCCAAAAGGTTTGTACTTTGATACTGTTCGATGCTTTAATACTCGAATGCTCGATTATTCGAACGAACTTTGATTAAAATGTTTCGATGCTCGAAAACTTGAGTATTTCTCGATACTTGCACGCGACAATTTCCGCCTGTCTCCTGCTAATTTCCATAACAACTTTCGATAACAAATATCTCTAGGTTCGCTGAATTTCAAGCATTCGGTAAAGTATCTTTCGTGCATCTAATCGAAGTTTTACCGTGTCGATCGAAATATTCGAGCAGATTCGAAGACATCGCGACAGATGTTGGGAAGTAGCGAGAATAGATTAAAGTAATATCGCATGCCCACGGCAGCGGTCTAGACGTAGCCATTGGAAAACGACGTTTCGCTCGAGGATCGTATTTTCAAGGTCTCAGACGTGGATTACGTCGCTAGCAAACCAGGCGTGCTATGAAAAACGGATTTATGTAAACTGCACATTCTCCCTGGTTCGTGTCCGATCGATTCCGCAATTTTCAAACTAAGTATTCAAACGCGCGTTCCATCGAGCGAGGAAATATTTTATTTCGTTTCATTATTTTCCTTCTATTTTTTAACTCGTTCACCGATTGTTCTATCGATTACCTGTCGCGAAAGTTTGCGAGAACGAAAAAAAATGTCCAGTTTAATTATTATCGATGATAATCGTATAATCGTCGATCGCGTGTTAGGCATCTCCTGTTTTTCTCGTTTAGAAAACGCGTCAAAAGCTTTCTTCGAGAGTTCAGGAATTAAGGTGAAAGTTTCCGGTGTGATTGCCGATTTCGTTCTTCTCGTTGCTACATAGAATTTATTTGAAATTAATACAATAACCATGTGTTGGTTAAATTCCAAGATTCGTATCAGATTTATGAGTTAATAGTTCATTTTCAGATATACGTTTCTACGTTATTACTCGATAAATGTAACACGTATCCACAGCATTAATTGTTAAAAGTATTCGTTCAATATTCGAGATCGTTGCATCGAGCGCCTTATCGTTTTGTCACGGAGTGTAGACTCGCGGTTGCAACGAGTTATTAAAGGGTAATTCAGCAGAGTGCCCTTTATTTATTGTCGTCAGAGGAACGTGACTCTTCGTTACCCGTTACACGGGACGTTGCATTTCCGAGAGAGGGTCAACGACCTCTTTATTTTCATTAGCTTCTGGTAGTCTACAGCTAGATTAACTTGTTAACTAATATCTCAATCAGTTCTGACGATTAACTTGGAGTAAATCTTCGAGATATACTGCAGACTGTCTACGAAACTATAAGTGGTTCGTCCGTTTTGCGAAATTCTTCTTTAGCGTTTTAGAGGATCTGTCGTTGTTCCACGAACACACGGTATTCAGCTTCTAAGCGTTTGAATTGCAAAACAGTCTCTGCAGCGCCGATTAAAATAGAACACGACGAATCTTTAGAACTCCAAGAGTGCGCCTTTCGAGAATCGAATGGATTTTCCGGTCGATTCTCGTTTGTACCGCGTGTGGACTAACAAATGGTACGTCGGGGAAACAGGACGCGGCGTTAACCGTATAGTTTCCGATTATCCGGTCGATCTCGATGAAAATTAGGCAACCGGTGATTACGTAAATGTCTGTGCGATACAACGGGAGCTGGAGGTGGTTAAGTGTCGTCGTGAGCGTAGAGACAGATGTTTTTGTTACCTTTGGACGGATCTGCGTCGAACGATTGGCGCGTGACGATATTTTTCACGCTTCAGCGAGGTCGCCATTGCCGATGCGTGAAAAGCACACTCGTCGAGAGTGTCAAGTACACGGGAAACGATCTTTTCTTGTGTTTTTTAGTTTCCTTTTTTTTCTGCGAACATTCTTTTTAAAACGTATTCTCTATTGTACAGCTGCGTTACCGAGCACCGCAAGTTTTCTGGCTTTAAAAAAGATCCGAAACCGAATTCGGAGAGAACGGTTTCTCCTTTACCGGCGCGAACCTTCGAGCTAAATAATCTACGAGTTTCTCTTCGATTACGCGACACTTCAATTTCGAGTTGTCCTTTTGTCACGCTTTCACGGATCGTTTTAATTCATTCCATCACGGAGCGAAGCACGAAACGCGTACAGAGATAGCATCTAAGCGGTAATTGGAAATCCTGTAATTCCTCGTAAGCTTTAGCGTGGAGTAAATACGAGTACGTTCGACTGGCCATTCATTTCACGATTGGCCATGGCCTAGTTTCGCGATTTCTGTAAATAACCGTGTGTTATTGCTCGGCAACGCGTGGGTAGCACCTTTCTTTACCGAATTTCGACTCGATCACGTCTTTCGTCAGAAATAATCTGTGAAGTGGTTGAGCGTCGACTTTTAAATCTTCCGAGGTAGCATTTCGTTACTTCAGATCTCTGAAGTAAGAGATAAGTCGGACGATAAGGACGAAACGAAAATATCAGTAACGAGATTCGCAGTTGCTATACGTTAACTTAAATTGGAACTGATCGGATCTTCTTTTTTTCGATATAGCTATCTTCGCCTCGAATTAGTTTGGCAAGGTAAATTCTTTGATCGTATTTACCTTCGTAAAATAGCATTCGCAGCATTCGATTAATCCTCCTCGATGAAAGGATTCGACCAATCGGATTAGAGAAAGAATAAAACAGTTGAAATCGGAAAACTACAAAGTTCAGCCTTAGTAAATAGTAACAATAGAATATATCTTATCGATGATAAATAATCTTCAATTTTATTGTTAATTTATCGATGTAAGATTAAATTCTTCGAACGAATATATACAGTATTAAACATATATCGAGATAATGCTCATTTGTTAAGCTTCCTTGTGTGTATAAATTACCAAAGATATAAATTACATTCGAAGCCGTGTTGTTAGCATTCGCGAAAAGAGAGAGAAAGGAAGAATTATATGCGATAGATTTCTTCCATATATGGTATGTGAATCGATACAGTTATCTCGTGTCAAACACGTAATCTTATCGACATCGTTTTCAGTGCGGTATCAAACACGGTAAAGTCAGTCGATTGCAAGGTGTACACACGATTTCCCAGGATAATTGATCGGAATGCATCAATTATACGCGGAATTTGAGGATTTTTTTGGTAATTTAAATCTTACTTGCGCGTATCCTTCCTTTTTGCTTGCTCTTGTTTCTAATCGTCTATCGGTAGTGCAATTTTACAGAATTGCAATATTTTTCCCCAAGCGAGAAGAAACGAAGAAAAGTGTTAGCGCTTTTACGCGGTGCTTGTTGGCAGGGTGGAAAGTGTTAATCGTGACTAAGGAGGAAGGCGAAGGGTAGCATTCTACCCTCTGAGTTCCGCGCTCTTCACTTTCATTCTTCGTGCCTTTTCGACGATTGAAAAGGCGACGCTTTGCACCGTGGCACCCCTCGTTCCTTTGGCTCCTTTCTCCTTCGACCTCTTTGCTGCCACCCTTTTTCCATCGATACCCCGCAATTAAAAGGCAGTCGTGCGTTAACGAGAGCCACGTCGCTCTCTCGACCACTCGTATTATTTTTTGCTTAGCCCGCACACCCTTGTGTCGCGGTTGTTCCTTCGATAAGGTGCTATTGTTCTTTGGACGTGCTCGAACCGGGGACAAGTTGGAGTTCATGGTGTTTCGCGTAACGAGCGAACTTTCGCGATATACGCGAGGATAAATTGCTCTCGGAACCAAATAGTAATATTAAACTAGTTAATTGCTACGCCAATCATTATCGTATCGCGTGTTTTAAGCGTAAATAGTGCTCCATGAATCATGTTATTTCGCAATATTTCAAGTTGCGTTTGGCACGTTAATCACTCGTTAGAACAGGGGCGATATCTCTTTGAATTACTTGTATTCGAGTCGCGTTACAAGTTTGGACAATTCACCGAGAACAAGTTGGTGATTCGAGCTGCTGATATTCCTTGGATCAGTTACTAGAGCGATGTTAAAACGACAGGTCGAAACATTCGCTCGCTTCCCATCGCTAGTCGGTCGCGGTGACTCGGATATCTGCTCGAGCCTCGGCGCAAATATCGCGCTCGCGGCACGCGAGTTGCGCAATATCGAGAGAAAGTCGACGCGAGATCAAGCCAATCGACTAATTGGCCGTTTCTTTACGATCGCACGATCAGCGGAAAGCGATTGCACGTTTGACGGACGGGCCTGATTTCTGGCATTCGCAGAGCCGAAAAAGAGACGTTTCCACCCTCTTCGTGGCTTGAGGAAGATCTTCCGGCGTAAGAGCCGGGGCGCAGCCGATGTCCGATTGGTCGCCAGCCACGTCGACAGGGATGCGGAGCTCGCGCGACTCCCGAGGGAAGACATCACCGACAGACATCCTGCGGGACGTCCCGAGGAGGCTCGCAGCAGGAGTGCCAGCGAACTGCTCACGGACTCGTGCGATCGAGAAAGGTCAGTCGCCTTTTTCTTTCTTTTCTTCTCTTATCGCCTCCATTTCTTCTCTCTTCTTTCCCGACACACTTGCCTGTTGGATCACGCGAAACAACGTTTAACACTCGAACCTTTAACCTCTACCTTGTCGAACGCGAATTAACTCGTTACTCGAGATTACCCGTGAAACATAATTTAAATCCAGGCAGCTGAAATCTCGACTTTCGAATGATAAGCCATTACGGAGCGTAAATTAATAAAATGCAGTTATCAAATGTACAGTCGAACCTCGATAATTTTAAACCCGAGGATAGGACCAAAATCGGTCTCCCGAGTTATCGAGGTTCGATAACCATATGCTCTTGTAGAGAGATCGAAAATACGGTAGAAAAGATATACATGTATTATATTATGGTTTCAGCAGACAAAATACGCGCACGTCGAAAAGATACAAGCTGACGACGACTTCCAAGTCACGTCGTTCCTTCAAACAGTAAATATCTACGAGAAAGTACATGTTCCTTGCTAAATTGTATTTCCTCGAACTATTTTATCGGCGTTCCATGCCTTTATCGCTTGAACCTTATAACATAATTTTATAGAAGATATGCAAGCGTTCAACGACTAAAGTAATTTCCAAAAGTGGCAGGAATTTACTTGAATTCAATCGATACTTTTGCACGCATCTTGTATTTGACTCTTTACGATTTAAGTTAAACTCCAAAACGCGCAATGTGAATTACGAAACTATTTCTGAGTTGCGATCTCCATTCACGAGTTAAGCGTAAAGAAGGAAAAAATGTAATGCGAGACGCGATGCAATGTCAGTATCCTTGACCCAGTTTGATCGCTTGTTCAGCTTAACAGCTTTGTCGCGCGAAAAATCGCGAGTAGGCGCGCGTAAAGCGCACACGCACCAAGCTCGATACTTACCTGACCTACTGTCCTTTATCGCCGTAACTCGATTGCGACCGTTCGTTGATAAGTCGGTCATTTCACGCCGGATTAATTCGATGTCTATCGTGCGTGCACGATCGAGCCTTCGGTTCTCGGTCTGGTAAACGATTGCCATTCGCTGCTTTGCGTTAGCTAGATTATCTTGTATAAATTAAGTAAATAAAAAGAGAAATTGTATGGCTAGGACTCGAAGGAGAGTGTCGCTGTTCGAATGACGAATTTGTTCGCGTTTATTTTTCAGCGTATTCCTTAGGAGGACAGGCATAGAGGAGTCGTTCGCGAAACTACGGGGAGGAGCTGGAAAATTGTCCGTGTCGCACGACAGCGTTTTCCCCGGAGAGGTTCCTCATACTAGACCTCTCTCGTCTCTGGCTAGTCTGGCTACCCTCGAGGTTGGTACCTTCTTTTATTTACCGGTCGTTGTATCTATAAAACGCTGCTTAAAAATCTATGTGTTGGGCCGTCAATTTCCCGTCAACTTAAAAAATAAGTCGAATTTTTGACACGTTCGGTGTCGTTATCGGTGAACCGCTGCATTTGATTCGCGATGATCGATGTAATTCGCATGCTTCGGTGGAGAATGATAAATAGAAGCGCAGAGGAGACTATTCTCGTTATCCAATGAACGTAATGCCGAACGAAGTATGCTAAGCACGCGCGAATCGAGTTAAGGCGGTTACACATGTCCAGGATCGGTCGTGACTCGTCTTCCAATTTCTTTATCGCGCGATCTCACGTTCTGACTAATACTTTGTTCCCTTATGTTGCTAACTATTCGTTCTTTGAATTCTCTATGGCTCGTTACGTGACAATTTTCTAACTTAATTTACTGAATTTTGGTGCCAAAGTGGGTGACATAGTATTTCTAAAGTTGTTACTTCTTCTCGAATCCTATGACAGAACTAGAACCTTCGTCCATCGACTTTATGACCCAACGTATCATCAAGATACACGACGCTTGTCTTAGCAGCCGCGAAATATCGCTTGAAATTAGCGAACTAGCACTTTTTCTACGCGAGAACAAAGAATCGTAGCACCGTCGTAAATCCTCTCACATCGTTCATACTTTTCAGCAAATCGTTTTTAAATATAGACTCGCGAGATCGCGCGACTCGAAGAACAAATGATCCATTGTCACGGTGCACCGTTGATCGACCAAGATTCCACGGGCCGATATACAAAGCCCGGTGTGCTTTGTCCGTTAATTGTCGTCGCGTGCTCGCCTTTTCACGAATCGTGGAACTCGTTCAAGGAGAGTTTCTAGAGACGTTGATTCTTTCCGAGTCGTTTCTATTTCGTTGTCACGAACAGGGACGTTCGTGAGCTCGCGAAACAATTTTCATTCGACAGTAAGGAAACCTATCACCTGCGGATCCAGGTGTAAATCTACATATAACGAGTAGATTCGTATCTCCGTTCGAAAGCGAGGAGAGGATGTTTTACCGGCTAAATCGAAGCTTTGTAAAAACGTAGAAATTGTTCCAGTCGATCCTTTCTATTCGTCGGGAGAAAAAGCACACCGGATCGTTCCGTTCTGATACGCGAGGAAAGTCACGGATTGTTTTCACGTTCGCGGAAAACCGCGGGTCACAGGCAGACGGCATGGTGTTTCGTGACCATATCGTTCCATTTTCTTTTCTCTTTATTTTTCAGCGAAGGCAATCGAGAAAGAGCAACGAGATCGAGCACAAAGAATACAATCAGCACGTCGCGCAGAGGCACAGGATATCTCTCCGGGTAATTTTACCAGTGCTTTTTCGTTGCCCGATAACGTCCGTCTTACCATCCTGGAATTTAAGGTCTACGTACGAAGTTTCGAAACTGGATTCAAAAATTATATCATAGCATTTAAGTGTAGAAAGCTACGATTACGTGCTGCATTCGTTATGCTTTCGTTTCACTTTTACCCCATTTTATCTTAGATTAAATCGAAAAGTTTCTCGTTTAATTAAAGTTGTGTTTGTTGATCTACGATGGCACAGGTGGCACGAAACGTATTAGTCGGGAATTAATCTACTTCTCGTTTTTAACTCTTAATCGTTCAGATTAAAAGACTCGAGGGTCTAAATGCGTCCAAATTTGATAAGAGTTCGATCAAAATCTGAGGCAACTGATAAAACGTTAATAGCATAATGTAGAGTCGACAATCGCACAGAATCAGTTCCCGACGAGGAACGCGTTAATAGGTACACTGTTGTATAATTTTGCCGGTAGAACGAACAACGAGACCGAAACAACGCGAGGAAAGAGAAAAGTCTGTAAATAGTTGTTTTAAAACGGAAGCGGTCGGCTTAGAAAAGGCTTTTTTTTCTTCGTTCTTACTATTACCGTTTTAATAAAGTCGTTACCAGTTGTAAAGCCCGTGAAATGTAGGACACGCGTGCTTTTCAGAAGTTATAAATTAATAGTAACACTGTGAATAATTGACAATAGTACATGCAATTCGTTTGCAGGTGCTGGAACAAATAAAGACGGTCATAGAAAATCGGAACCAGGTAACTACGGCGACTTCCTCGGATACCACGAGTACCGTTCACGTGAGTACCGAGACGTCGAATTAAATCTTTATCGAGAAAAGAAAAATGTCGAGAGTTTTGCTCGTTCGTTGACCTGTCTCGAGGACAGTAATTTTTCTCCGAGCTTTTATCTCGATACGAAAGTAACACCGAAAAGAAAGTCGTCACGGTAAGAGGCTCTAGAACGAAAACGGAAAAGAAGAAAACTTTTCGGTCGCGTTTTTGAGCCGTGCCTCATCGATGATACACGTTTCGCGTTACAAGACACGTAATATTTAGCTATTATTATTAAAGAATTTCTAAATAAAGATATTGGAGAAAAATGACGGATTAGATTCCACGCGTTAGCTTGCACATATTGTCAGATCTGATGTCATGTTTGGTTTTTGCGTTTCAGGCTGTCAGTGAACGTTATCAGCAGGAAACCGCCGAGGTAAGATAGCAACAATGAACTCTTTGCCATTCCTAATAATTGTTGTAGTCGCGTTCGTGCTGTCAGCTTGTCAGCATGCGTCGAATCTTTCGGTTTTCTTAGCGCGCGTTCACGGTGATTCATATTTAGCGTGGCATTGAAAGCACTAGAATTTCATTTACGATATTAATAAAATTGTGCGCGATATTTTATGTAATAAGATACCAGCTTATCGCTGCGTTAATATTCACGAATTGCGTAGTCCATGTGCTCAAGGTTCCTGTCAGGAAAACGTTACGTATTTCGTACGTTCAACGGTACAATCGTTCGTCGAACAGTACAATCCGATCGTTATAAAATGTCTGACAGAAAAAGAAACGCGTTTCGAAAATTATGGTCTAAAGTTTTGGTGTTCACATCCATCAGCGCGAAATTTCGGAACGAGAGAGCAGGGGTAAGAAGGAAGTGTTCTTTCCGACCGTAAGAACTTTCTCCCTGCCATGAGATCCATTCTCTCACATCCGACGACTCGTTATCAACTACTTTCATTCGTTACGTCATTTATATTTACGATCTTGCCAATAGTACATGTAACTAACGTTCACGGTACGATCGATATCTATTATCCAGCCATTGCTGTCGAAGTTGCACTCATCTTTTCGAATTAACGTTCATAAGCATGCCCTGGCAATTTTCCATTCCCGTTTTAGACTCTACGATCATTTTGTTATTTGTTCTTTTCATTCGTAATATCGTCGAAGCGTTAATTTTGTTCGTTTTCGATTTTCAGAATCGTTTCGCCAGCTACGAGAAGCAGGAAATAAACGAAGAGGAGAATCAAGCGAAGGTAAGAGTACTATTAATCCGAAAAATCTCTATCGGTCCAGCCAGTCGTTTGAACGCGTTTCGGGTCGGGTAGTGAAAAACGACCCCGTAGACGTACCCCGGTAATAGCTAGTTCATAAATCAGTATCAAACGACGAGTTTCTGCAGGCAACAGGTGGCGAATAGTGACCGATAGAGACTCGTTAATTTTCTTCGTTTTACGTTATCCTGCGTCAACGACTCGGAAAAATGTTTCTGTCGATCGCATTCGATGCTCGTGGATATCTACCGAACAAGAAAAATAAAACAATTTGTCACGCGAAACTTGTTTTTAGCGACGAAGACTCATACACGCGTTATCACCGTAACCCCATCTACGGTAGTCTCGTCTCGTTTTCTAATTGATCGGTTGATCAATTAAAATCTAATTGGCCAATCACCGAACAATTAATCATAGTGATCGTTTGATTAAAGAGTACATCATGCTGATTATAGTAATGACGAAATCACGCGTTAAACATCCACGCGTTGGATTACCGCACGTTGTTAAGAAGACAAGACAGCGATGCCTTCTCCCGCATACTTCATTCATGAATCCTCGATGTTCCGTCGTTGAAATTTTACCGGTTAAAATTTCTTCATCGTTTCTAACAATATTTATCGTCGCTTCTGCCCGCTCGTTTCGAACGGAACAAAATCGTTCCGGTGAAAGAAACTTCACCGCTGACAGCGCGTGTTTCACGCCCCTTTTACGGCGTTCTCGTTGTTCTGTTTCCCTCCGCGTAGCAAACCGCTATTATTTCCGCAATGTTCCATTACGAATCTACCTGTGTTTTTTTTATTGTTCGTCTCGCGACACAACAACCATTCGAACAATGCTCGTCGTCCTGTGTAAATCAAGAGCCGTCCGTCGTGCCCATTGGAAAACGCTTCCATGAAGGCGTGTTTCGCGTTCAACGAGTAAAAGAAAAAAACTGGGTTAAGCTTTATCTGATTCAGCCGTTTACTTTTACGCGTATTCGTGTTTGCTCGTAAAAGGTAGCCTATATTCGAAGAACCATTTAAACTGCGAACACGCGTTACGTTTGATGTACGCTGAAAAGGTTTCGTTTCGAAACACGAATGACAATTCGTTAACCAGTCAAAATCTAATTCTCGAATTCATCGTTCCTCCTTCGAATACTGTTACGTCGTTTCTCAATTTAATAACGCCATTTAAATTTTTCTTTCGATCATCCGGTCGCGTTAAATTAGTGGTACCGGTTCCCGATGACCCCCATACCGATAAACGCGTTAAACGTTAAATGCTCCGTTTCGTGTCAGTTTCATCCTAACGAAGCACGAGGTAAATTGTATGACACTCCGAGTAACTACGCTCGCAACGAAACGGTTAAACGGATTAGAGTTATGTTTAAAATGACTAGAATCATACTACTGCGAAATGATAAACAGTCAGCCGTTTAAAGCGGTAAAAAATGTTGGAGAGTGAGCGCACAATGAATAGGACAGTATATGTATAAGTGCGACACGAGATATGGCGTTTACCGTTACTTGGCCCGAACACTCGTTATAGCGAGGATCGCGTGGTCGAATACTTGGAGGCGGCTGTGAGTTAGCTCGCTTTCGATCCGATAGAAAAACAGAAAACACCAAGTTACTACTCTATCGCGGCTGATAAAACAGTGATTTCTTTCGAAGAAAACCTGTTCTTTCGTTATTTGCCGGTAAAACACGAGTTTCTTATTCTATCGGACACCCTGTATACAATGATGTAATAATCGAACTTAACGTAACCACCTGAAATTAGTACATCGTCATTAGCGAGTCAGTCGCCTTTTCTCCGCAAAGCAGGATTTCAAATGCTCGCCAACAATAGAATAATTATCGTGAACTCGTTTGGATGATTCATCGTTTAGAACATCGCGTGTCTTGATAAGCATGACCGTTTCTACTGCGGCAGTGAAGGTGTCCTGTATTTCCGACGCCGGCTAAGTAGATACGGCTGGCAGTTGTCGGACAACCGCATCACCGATAGAGGGCTTTACCTCTACCTCGGGAGAGAATCTACTCACGGTACAACGTTTTCTTTAATACCGCGACTTTCTCGATAACAATTCTTTCTTGACATCGACTAATTAACTTACGCTGCACTTTTTCACTAATAAATTACAATTAATAATTAGCGGAATAGTCGATAAAGTAGAAACCTTCGTTCAGATAAATTCGTGTAGAGTTTTGTAAACTAAAGTGGAGAGTGCCTTGTCGATAAAACAGGCCAGTAGTTTACAATTAGTTAGTATCTGTAACGTGACACTATCATAAGCACGTGGCACTGTTCGTTAATAGAATCGACACAGTTGACACAGCATTTAGATGTAAACATTTTATACCATTGTAATGTAATGTTTGCAATACATAGTTCGATTCGAACGATCGGAAACATTAAAGTCCACGCAGACTCTCGATTATTAAATAGAATTTCGAGATAACGGGGTAAAAGAATCGCAGAGCTCATATCGGCATAAGACTTTTGACATTTGCACGCGATCGCCTAACGAACCGTTCGTAAGCCAGTTTGGTATTTGCGTGGCATTTATCGCGCTGCGTTGCTTTCGTCACGGAATGCCAGCAAGGCCAGAAGAATCCTTACAAATCCTTGCCGAGGACCGTGTGTCGATACCGTTAAGCTTTACCGCGAATCGAATCACCGCCTCTGTTTGTCGAATAAATTGGTACGCCTGGTCGCGTACACGTCGTAGCAAAGGTCGACGAGCACGTTTCTACCGGCCCTCTCGAATTTCTTCCGTTCGTTTTGCCCTCGGAAATTCTATCAGTCTACGTTTTACGAACGCTCGTCACGATCACCACCGTTGCGACAGGATATTCCGAAATTCGCCGCAATTTCACCGACTTGCTCTCCGAGATTACCACATTCGAAATCAGACTCTTTCTGTAAGAACGCCTTCAGAAATTGAAATTCCTTTCCACTTACATCGCATTCTTCTTCGCTCTCGTCTAGCCGGTTCGGTTGTTCATTGCGACTGGCAAAATTTCTGTCGCGTATAATAACGTACGAAACTCAGAAGTGTAATTAGGCAGAAGAGAATGATGGTATAGTGGTTCGGAGAAAGATCTGCTGGAGCACGCGTTTAGCGCTAGTCGGCGTTTTCCAGTCTGGCGTCGCGCGACGTACCGTTTCGATTACGAAAGGACGAAGGCGACGAGAAAGGAGCGGTTACGATAGGTCAGTGACGGATCGAAGCAACTCTCGTGAAACGTAAACGACGTATCCTGATCGAGCGCGAACGCGTTCCCGGAGACGAAAGGAGCGGTATTTAGAAAGCAACCGGTAAGGCGCGTTCCGAGCGAAAAAGGCCGTTGTTCTGCTACGTTTTCGCGGTGTCGAAACGTTTTGTCGGTAGCGAAGTGAATGTCTAGGTAAGAGGACAACGCGAACCGAAGAGCGAGGGAAAAGGGAAGACGGAGGTTCGGTGTCGGTGCTCGAGGCGAACAGCTGGCAAGCAGCAAGATTGGTAGCACCGTTAGCGCTGCTTGTCCGATTCCTCGTAGATCGGTCTTCCCGATCCGTACGTCGTCTCCCTTTTTCTCTTGCCAGGGGTCATTAGTCGCCACTGGCGTATTCTAACAGGATTCCTCTGCAGCATCCGTGTATCCTTCGAGCCTACGTTGCGATAGCTGTTATCGAATATACGCGAAACATGAGAATTTAGCTCCGATCTTTGAACAACCAGATACAGCCGGTGATCCGAAAGATATTCGATACTTGGAAGCGTTTCGAAACTTTCAACGTCTTTAATACTTTCCACGGCCTCGAAGTTTTCGAGGATTTTACAGGTTGCAACATTCGCAACTTTTTACCAACTAACGTTTCAAACGATGTTTCGAATAATATCGGTGCGATTACTAGTTCGTTACTATTTGTGGCACTCGATCGTACGATTACGTCCCTGTCACCTGTGCTACCACCACGAGCGACAGTGCCACTTCTACCCGCCGAAACCCACCGAGCCGAGTAGGAAGACTCGCTCGCTCGCGACCAGTACTACGACGCGTTTTCCGCGCGCGACACGCGTTACACGCTTGCTCTCTTTCTTTCCACTATCAACCGCCGTTTCCTTTTCTCCTTTTGGCTTCACACGAAGGGCTTCGTTCGGTCGACCTACACTTTTCGATCGATCGCGTTCCACGAAGGTCGAAACCGTTCAGTCGAAGCCAGCGTTTCCACCGGACAACACGCGATTCCCTGTTTCTTTCTTCTTCGATCGATCGATCGATCCTTCCCGCGGACGACAAACATTATAAATATCACGAAATATCCCATAGTTCGATTACAGTGTTCTTCGATCGAAGAGTTTGACCTATGGGAAAATAGTGAAGCCGAAGTTTCGTGAAAAGTATTCTGATTGTGGTGTATCGCAACGAGTGAATAATATTTGAGGAAACGTGTATCGAATCTTGGGATACATCGCTTTCAATTGGTTATTGCGAATAGTGAGGTTCGCCGATTTCGTTTGCTTCGCTTCGTGAGTACTGCACGTGATAACGATAACGATAATTTTGTAATTTCAATTTTAACAAATATTTCTATCGTTTTATATAATCTAACATCTTGATCGTTTTAATCTAAAATGTTACGTAAATAGTTACTTTCGTTACATTGTCTAAAGGTTGTCGTTTAATATCTTTATCGAAAAATCGTCGAACGATAGTGAAAATTAATCTCCCAATGATATCGAAGTCATAATCCAAGAAAGATACGAGGGACTGCTACGGCAAAAGGCAAACTTTCTTTCTATTACGTCGTCACTGCTTCTACGTTTTAATAGTTCCAGCTAAAATATTTTTAATCAGGATCAGTCGACACGGTGAATGCTGCCACGTTCGAATAAAAAGAATGAAAAGGTGTTCGATACGTCTTACCATTCGTGTCTATTTCCACTGCAGTAGTGAACGCGTTGACCGCCACAGTAGAATAAGTCGTGTCTGGTATGTCGCGTATTA